ACACTCGTACCAGCGGCCGCAGTCCGCGGGGACTGACAATAGCTAACGCCGCGAACGTTTACCTCAATTGAAATTTTTCAGAATTCGGTGAACGGTTCTCGGCCTGCGCACCTACTTTGTGGAACACGCTAGGTTCGCGGACGTCGATCGTACGGTTTGTTTGATTCTCGCTGAGGAAATAAACGCCCTTTCACCTATATCTTCTAAATAACAAGTGGAAAAATAAGCAATCAACCTCTTGCGATGGAAACGAATTCAGAGATTTGACAGTCTTGTGCGAAGAATTTCGATTTTACCCATATTGTTACTAATGTTTGTTAATCGCTTTGTACAGAGTGATACATTTCGAAAGAATCTAATACGTGTAACGCAACAAGACTGTTGATGTGCATAAGACGTCACTGACGATTTTAGAACGAAAACGTCTCGAGCACGTCTTTCCAGCGCAAGTGGTTAAAGTGCGCATATCCTGTCAATGAAGATCGAAACATTGACCCAGTAATATTTATAAAATTCGATATCTCTCGTACGCGATCCGTAAACCTAGCATTATAATTAACACGATTCGAGCCGATTTTTGGACATCCGTCCAGGCGTGTACGCCCCACGCTTCACAATTTCTACAGTAGTACAAAGACATCAACAAGAGGCTGCACAGCTTGAAATACGTTAAACAACAGATCAACAAATTCAACGTTTAACTGATTATTTTAACAGACACGTGGTTGAACGTTGCTACCAGACGGCCCGTCGGCCTGAGCGGAAAGTTCGGAGCGGGGCAACCGCTGCTCACGCCACGGAACGCGTTAGCCGTCATATTAATTACGATATGATTAGCAATTTACTCGATTCGTCGGTTCAGCTTGCGCGCCGTCTCCTCAGGGACATCGCCGATGGTATCCTCCGCATCCTTGAGAACACCGGAGAACACTGTCACGCGAGCGACCGGATAAATTCGACCGGCACTAAATCATCCGGTCCACGAGTCCACCCCGGGATCCACGGGGGTTCGTCGATCGTGCGAGTCGGCGACGGGGGTGTCTCGCGATTCGATCGCGCGCGGGGAAAACCGGGCCGCGGGAGTTTTCCAGAAGCGCCGCGCGCGCGGGCTGGATCGATAGGCGGACGGCGAGGACGATCGCGATGCGCCCGCCGCGTGCACGACAATGAAACGTTCCGGATTCGCTCGGTGATCCTCTGCCACTACCTATGCCACCACCATCCACACACACACAAACACACAGCACAGGCACGCTACGTGTGCAACGAGTAAAGAGACACGAGTGTGCGAGCGCGGTCCGTACACGGCGTAAAGCGGTGTTAGGGTACGTTTACAGCGGAAGCCCGGCGCTCGATCAAAGGAGACGAGGGACGGCACAGCGGAACCTCGATTATCCGAATAATTCGATCTCTCTTTATTGTCCAATTGAATCACTCAGATGCGGTTAAGCCCAAGAAAGAAAGGTCGAGAAGATGAATGCCTCGGCTTCCGAAATGATTATACAACGTATTCAGAAGCTGTGAAAAGGCTTTCTGACCTAGAAACACCGAGGAAACGAGCGAATCCTTTGGCAACCGAGAGGAATATTATTTCTTCCGTTGAAACTGAGAGAAATCAGGAAATATCGAAGAATGGACTTCACCGCACTGACTTCTGAGCGACTCGGTTATCAAAACTTTGATTGTGCGAACGTCGGTCGGATAATCGAGGTTCCACGTTACACGCTTCTTCTGTTTTACAGTAGTTTACGCTGCGACGTGTGTATATTTACGGTTACGACGTACTTATCGCACACACCACTTCGCGAACCTCGAAGATAACAATTCTTCTTCGGGTTTGGGTTCCTACGAACGCGACGGAGGAAGATACTTTCTCGGTGTTCAGTTGGGCGCACAGCTTTTAGCTTCTAACTATTGGACAGATAGGTTCTATCTGTTAGCTACTAGCTATTAGGCAGATAGGCTCTATCAGTTAGCTTCTAGCTATTAGGCGGACAGCTTCTGGCTGTTAGCTTCTATCGCAGCTCCGCTGTAAACGTACCTTTACGCGTTCCCCGCTGAGCGTACACGCGAGAACGAGTGAGCGGACGGCGGTACGAACTGACACTCCGCAACGACGATTACTATTCTTCAGAAACACACACACACACGCATAGACACACACGCACACACGAGCATGGCTTCTGCATTCACCGGGCCGAGAATCCGTACGCGTACACGCGGCGGGGAGCGGAGCGGAACGGAGGGCTGCGCGCGGCGAACGTAATCGGAGACGGACGAATTAGTTTCGTGATTTTGACCCTTTCGAATATAAACCGCGGCACGACGACGGAGCATCGGGCGCGTTCCTCCGGTGTGTTTACGCTCTGAATCGCGACACGATTTATAACATGAAATTAAAGAAAATCTCGTGTGTCCGTGCGGCCGCGCGCGTGTACGCGAGGTTTTATGCACTCGCTTCTTAACACGTTCGTGGTTTTCAGGGTCATCTGGTTCCCCGTGCGCGGCGGGGATCGTATTGTTTTAGAATATGTGGAATGAAATCGGAGATCGCGCGTGGCCTCAAAACGACGGATCGGAACTTGCTGGACTCGCGCGAATGAAATTTCGGCGTGCCGAGAATCATAGTATCGCTGAGTATATGAAAAGATCGATCTTTTTCTGCTCGAAACTGGCGAACTTTGTTTTTTCAGTCGATCATTATGAAGGACGGTATTTATGTAGACATAAGTATTGTCTAATCTAATATATAATAATGCGCGCGTCTAATCTATTACGTAATAACGTAATACTATGCACTATAGTATTCTTGTTCTTATTTCTATACAAGTACCATCTAAGAATACCGTGGCACTCTAATATTTCGGCGATTGAAGCGAGGCTTTCTAAAGCGACTTACATTTCTACGACTCTTAGCACTCCGTTTATTTCCCCTGTCGCGATTGATCCGGGAACGTATTAATAATCGACTCGTTGACAGTGAAGAGGGCAGGTTTCCTGCAATCTGTTACAATTTCCAATGCTATATTCCTTTGCGAATTGTATACAACCGTTGTTTCAATGTCCGCTCAGCGGTACGGAGATAGAAACGAGCGCCAAAGAATTAGCTTTGAAGAAGACCGTGCCAATCTCTTGAGGTCGTTAACCCCGGAAACAAAGATGCGTTTCAGTTACAGGGTTGACCGCGTTCCTAGTCTTTCTGCTCCCTGACGAGACCCGGCGATCAACCGTTCCCGCGGACGTATTGTTTCCATGGAAATCGGACCAGAGAGGAATCGGCGATCGGACCGGGCGTAGAAAGTGCGAGCGAGAGTACGCAACGGGAAGGATGGTTCCCGAAGCGATCGAACTGTACGCGGAAACTTTCCAGCCACTTATAGTGGGACATTAAAGTTCCACGGACTGCGTCTCGAGAAAGAAGATACAACAGTTTCCGCTTAGAACTCGAGTGGCCTTGAAACGCCGGCTGGGACCAAGTTCACGTACACGCGAATAACGATCAATTAGCTGCGCTTCGATTCTGGTTCCTGCGAAGATGAATGGTCCCTTGTGGATATTACGTGTACAATAACCGAGTTAATTGTGGCTCGAGAATATGCTGCGTGCACAGCGATGAAATTCATTCATCTGAACTCGTTTCTTCTGTAATTCAATTAAAAAGGAAAGAATGAAATACGAGAACAATTCCAATGTTCAGCAGCTAGCAATCTAAGCGTCAGTAATTTCAATATACGATTCTTAGAGTACACTCACTGAATTCTCTATCGATATTTTCGCTTACCATCTGTATCTAACGATTCCTCGACATCTGCACTGTCCAATAACCGATAGGTACTCGAAAATGGGTAATTTCGAGTCGTCTGGCGGTTCCAGCGTGAACTCTGCGTTCATGGAAACCGCCAGCCGACAGGCAACGCAGGTCCGACGCGGTCGAACAAGGGACAACTTTCACCGACGATTATCCGCCGCGGTGTCTACGATAAGATCGAATCACCGATGCCTGATAACCTGGAATCACGCGGCGAGTAATCGCCGGTTGCAATTGCACGGGATATCGTGTCGCGGTGGAAAGCGCCGCCTAGAGAACGAACAAATATAATGCCAGTTCCGCGGAAAACCGTGACGCTTGGTAAAGCCCGCTTCGTCCTCGCTGCCAAGAAATAATTTCGACTGCGCGCGCGGCGAGCGAGCGGACGGGCGAGCGAGAGGCACGGCCGCTGCGTTGTTCCGCGGCGGCGTTTCACGCGCCGTTAACCGATCCCTTTATGCCCGTCCCGAGTTTATCGATTTTCGGATCGAATTCGTTCTATAGCTACCGCGACCGGTCCTCCCGCCGACCTTTATACGCATCCGTTCCTACTTCCCGCTGCGTAAAAATCCCCGGGGACCTTGACAGGCCTCTCCCTAGCCTCGACGTGCCCCGACTGGCCGAGTCGCGCTGCGCTTTTTTTCTTTCTTTCTTCCTTTCTTTCTTTTCAATGCTCCGCGTGTGTTGGGTTTCCGTATCGCCGTGCGGTCGTCGCCAAGCACAGCGAGGTCGTAAATTAACGATTTCAGCTCCAAAGTTTTTCGCTAGAGATATTTAACAACTTTCCGATCGGATACAGGATTTTTCAAGGAAACTTAGAGAATTTTGCTTCTTGATTTCTGTGTGAATTATTGGTAAGTTAATTAGGGAATCGATAACTAATGTGAATAAATCAAAGAATCTTGTTCCTTGATTGATCGTAATTTATCCATTGGGATAACAGATCACAGTAGGACCTAGGACAGGCTCAAAACTGCTCGTTGCAAGTTCTAAGGTGATCGGATTTCTGAAAATTCGTTTGTCCTGTCGCTCGAGACACGTTTACTTTAACGCTCGACTAATTTTACAACCTCGCTAGGTCTGGACGACGACTGCACGCGTGCTAGTACGCGGCCGAAGAGATAGGTCCCTGTATTGCGGCAAAAATTCTTCCACTGGCAGCCGCCTTTCGCGGTTACGTCAGAAACGATACCATTGCGCCTGGGAACATCCGACGACGAGCTTCTTTATCTATTGCAGCTAACTTTCCCGGGAACGCTTCATCGTACGCAGCGTGTGTTTCTTAGTAGCGCGTGAACCTCTTTGATGATACATCTGGGGCACAAACGGAACAACATTGTATAAATCATTTTTCAAGGAAAAAATGTGTTTCGAAACGGTTGAGGTCTCCGTAGATACTCGCGCGATTAATTAGTATGTATAATTAGGACCTTAGTTGCCGAGAACTGGACTAGGCGGAGAGAGTCCGAGGATCTTCCGGTTACCTGACAGCTGTAGCGTCCTTGTATCTGAATTCATTTCCCTCGTTCTAGTCAACGATTCCATTAATTAACACGGGCTGGACCAAAATTAATTATTTCCGATTTCTCCTGCATCGATGGAAAAAATACAGCTACTTCTCTAACTCAGAAATAAAATGATACGGCGATACGCGAACTGAAACGTAAGCTAATCGAAATTTCAATAACTTCTGCTGTCTCTATAAAAAGATCTGTCGGTTCCACTGCTCGATGGTTCCAACGTTAAACCGCGAGACCGCTGTGTATCGCTCTCCGCCTAGCTCTGGATTCAAATGTTTCCGAGACGGACGCCACTCGTCCGAAACTCGACTCATTCGTTTCTGCTTTCGCGCTTATTGATCTACCTCTTCAAGTATGGATCGCTGTCGGCGGGCGACGGGCGCGCGTTGGAAGAGCGTTTCCTCGTCGCGATGAGAATCGTCGACGGCGCGACGGTGGGCAAAAACGCGCCGGGTCGGATCATTATCGGTTCACGTACCCCGATATCATCCGCGAGCATTCGCCACACTGGACAGAAATATAATGCGGTTGGCCGCGATTCGACGTGTTTTCGTGCCAACTATTATATACAGGGTGGACCACCTGACACGCGGATGCGGCTGATCCTGAGCCTCGCGGCGCACAGTGCGGCCGACTGTGGAAGAAACCCGGAAATTCGACTATTCGCCTGACGGAAATTGAAGGTTACCAATGTGTTGCCAGTCCCTGCTGGACGAAATGATTTTCGTTTCAAAGGTAACAGTGTTGCGCGAATCGAGTTCGTTTGGTTGTAAACGAAAGTTGTCACTTTACAGCTAGCATTGATGGTAGAACTATCGATTAAACTGATCAATTACTACTGTTTTATACTGTTGCGAAAGTGCAATTATTCAGACTACGATTGACCGACATATAAGTTCGCGTGTCGGTGTATTCATTGATTTGAGAATTTTCCGAAGCAGCCGTATCTTTTCGGTAATAAAAAAAGATAGTTCTAGCGTTAATGTATGGTAACGCGATGTGTTGACGCGAGAGAGTTCCATCGTCGTTCCCGGCGAAATAAAAAATTGGCTTTCTTCTGGATTCGCAGTACGCTTTAGAAAACTGTTCGCTCGCGCCGGTTCGTACGTGCAGGTCGAGCACGTCTACGGAGGACCGTTAAACACGGTGAAAATTTTACGAAGAAAGCACCTCGGACTAACGGAGAATGGGTCAAGCCGCGGCGAGCGTCGATTTTACAAGCAGCTCGCGTGTCTTTCCGCGCTACGCGCGATGTCTGTCGCGACCGCCGCTCTACGTTGCCTATTATTACCCCCGCTGACGTTTAAAAATTCACGGTTCGTACTTTGCATGATATAGATGCACGCGGAGCCGTGCAACATGCTTTCTGTCCGATCGACTAGTTCGAACGCACGACATAATTGATAATTAAACGGTGCGTTAGGAGCACCGGTAAAAACACTTGTATAATACTTTGACCAACCCAACGTGATTCCTAATAGTCGCTACGCATGAATAAAAACCATTCGACACAACTACCAAGCAATTAAGGTGACTTATCTATCATTCGTTATAAAGACTTAGAAGAGCACATTCCCGGAGATTCGCTTTCCATCGCAAATTAGCCCCGCAATCCGAAAGCAATTCTATTGTTTCGATAACTGTACACCGGAAACATTCGAACGGGTGATTTTAACTGGCCCCGTAGTTCTAGCATTAAAGTTGTAGTTCAAGCAACCGTTGAAACTTATGAAACTATGCCTACGATATCAGATCCAGCAAATAACTTCCGCCATCGATGCAGGAAATCCACCGAACAACGACGACAGAGTGGTAATCGTAGGATTCTTTGAAAGTGGAAGTTATTCGAGACTCACCCTAATAGCTACCCCCGTTTGCCGCGACTTAATGGACTCGCACGGACAATCGCATTCCCTCCCCCGGCCCGTCCCCCGTCGCTCGTCCCGGTGGATTTCCATCGACGTGTTTCAGGTCAGATATGCAACGAAAATCGAGCGGTGCGTTGACCATACGAGGCACGTAGTACGTCCATCGATCACGAAAACCCGCGGCATAGCTGACACAAAACCGTACCTACGTGCATCGGCCGTACGTGACGCGCGGGTATCCCGCATCGTTCCGGAATCGGCACGGACACCAGAGGAGAACCGTTGAACTTAGCGTGAACCGGTACGCGGCGCGATCGAGATAAACGTTCCGTTTATAAATAGGTTACCGACTGGGAGATTTCTTAAACGCACAAATAAATGCCGGCGTATCTTGATCGTCACAGTTTCTGCACTACTGCGGGTAAATAAGTGTTTACGGTTTTTACGCATTCCGCGGCTGACCGGCAATGAAACTCTTATACTCCGCCGCTCCGTCGGCATCGGCTTCTATCCGCGGTACCTAAATTAGCGACCCTCGAATCTCTTCGATAAGTCCGTATACGCGCGCTCGCTCGCTCGCTCGCCATTCACTAAAATTAGAGGGCATTAATTCCACGTGTATCGCGCTGTATTTATACATTCATTTACCCTAACCCTCCTCCCGACCCCGCGTCCCCTACGGAGTACATTCTTGCTTGGAGAAATCGATGAACAACAATGCGATCGATAAAAGAATCGGAAGTCCGCAACGCCAGACCCTGGATACACCAGTGTGTTTTTCAGAAAATGTGTAAGTACCGTAGTGTGGAACGAGGACAGAAACGAGCGGAGCTTCGAATTTTCAATGAAACGCTCGTAGAGAACTGTTTCTATATACATCGGCAAAGAGCGAAGGGTGTGTTTCCAAGGTTAACGTTTCGCAACAGTGCTAGTATCGTCATGCAGCTAAGTCCCGCAACAACCACCGCGATGTCCAACTTCTATCCTAAAGTCCCTCCATCAAAGTTGACCGTGCGTCGCAGAGTCCGGCTGATCATGACGGCGCCAAACTACTTTTCCTGCCGAGACAGACCGCGACTACCGTCCACGCACGATCAACCCCCAACTGTCCAGCCTCCCGGTACCCTATCGAGTTCTCGGCACGTAAATTCGAGTCACGAACTGTCCCTCAAAAGAGGCGTCTAACGAATTAGAGGCGGAGGATGCGTTTAAGGAATCAGCAACAGTTGTTGACAGAGCAAGGATACCACGTACGCAGTGGAAAGCTATTAGACGCGTAGGCGACGCTACCCTATTAGACTAGCAAGCATAGACACCGCGGTGAGCTTGAAAGGAAGAGTATCAGCTAGGTATTATTTCGACCAGAACTCACTTTGGCCATCGTGTCGTCGTGGGTGGGTCCTAGAGATCTCCCCAGGGCGAAACACTCGGTTCCCGGTGGTCGCAGCCGCGTCGGCCGCTGCCTCTTGACATAAGTCGCGTTTTGGTGAACGGCGTCGAGCGAGGCGGTCGCATTCCCAGACGGTTTTCACACCGCGCGGCGACGCTCCTTTTCGTACGCGGCCGAGTACAACATTCGTGGCGGCGGACACGTCGATCGCTTGCGGATGCGAGGGCACCCTCCACGCAGCGACGCTCCCCGACGCCGGCGTCGCCGAGAACGACGTTATTGATCGGCGCCGCGGCGGAGGCGTCGCTCTGCCCGCAGAACGGGGAAGGGGGTGGGAACACGCCGGTGACGGAGACGGTGCTCGAGGTGGGCCGGTGCTGCCGGCGGAGACAGAAATGACCAGCCGAAGCGCCACCGACGAAAATCATTCTTGGAGCGTTCGCTGGGCTCCGCGTCCCTTCCCCCTTTCCTCGCCCTCCTCGTCGCCGCGCTCTTCGCGTGGCCGCGGTTGCAAGGCGAAACGATGTAAGTCACGTTCCTCGGGACACCTTCGGCGGACTCATTCTGCAAGGATGTTCGTTGTTAGACAATGGGACATCGAATCGAACGTTTATAACTGAACGGAGATATTTTTCAATTCGAACCTGAGATCCTGCTCCAAGGAAGATGCGACTTACGGGGTTTCGCTTTGCGCTCGTGGATCGACGGCTAGGCTAAGGATTGCTTACTTCTGTAAGGATATTCATGGTTAGACAATGGGACAGTTGCGAATGGAACGTTTGCAATTGGAGAGAGAAATTTGAAAGTTTAAACCTGAGGTCCTGGACCGAGGAAGATGCGACTTACAGGGTTTCGTTTTGCAACCGTGAGTGTAACGTGGATGGATCTACAGCCAGGCTGGGGATTGCATGCGTTTCAACGGTATAAATTGAGAACGTTTAGCTAATCTAATAGTGTCTCTTTCTTAAACTACACTTGACACTTTGACGGTCGGCCTCGTTTGTATGGCATCGGTGGCTAATATACTTGTTGCTTACTGACTGGGGAATACGTTCAAATTTTCATGTTCGAGATTTATCTGGAATTTGATACCTGTAAATATTCTATTCATATACGTATCTAAGAATAAATAACAACAATCTGAAATAAACAAATGATTAATTCCTATAATATAAATAGAAGCAGAAACAGGAGGCTATTGAAAGACACCGTTAAATGCAAATAATAGATTGATATAAACTAAATTATTTTCGCTGCAGTTGGAATCCAAAATGTGCCCGGCAAGTGCTCATTTTATGTCGTATTTTATATTCGATATTTCGCGAAGTTACTCTGGGAATGGTATAAAATAGCAGGCTGCTGATAAAATATCAGGAAAATACTCTAAACCAAACCGTTCCAACGAAAGTCTTCTGGCTTCTGCAATGTCAATTATGCTACGCGCGAAGAAGCATTCCAATGATCGTTTCAGTCGATCTAATATGGACCCAATAGAATTCTAATACATAATATATGTTCCACCATATCCCATCGAGCGCTCAAAAGAATCTTGCTCGGCTCTAAACTTGCTTTTCTTCGCCTACCTCGGGGAAATATTTCTTGGAAGAATCCGTGACTTTTTATTTGTCAACATGCCCTTCAACGTTCCTCAAAGATCATGAATTATTTTCCGCACTGACTCGGGAATACGCTCGTGTTTACACGGTCCCTAAGTTCCGGTCCACTCGACAGACTATCAAGGGATCAATTAAAACTTCGAGTAGGCGACAAGCTTTCGAAAAACACGTATCTAACGTATAATCACAGAGAAGACAACGTTCGTGACCCGAAATCATTTGCGAGTGCCACGGGATGATTTGAATTGTAAAGTTTCGAACAGTTTTTTTCACGGTTCAAGTGATCTTCGATGATAAATTCCGAACAGTCGCCGGTGTCACGCGTAGATACATATATGTCGGTGAGATCAGCACAATTTACAATTCTTTCGCGTTAATAATATCCACGAAGACTTACCGGGTTACTGCAATCCATGCTCCATCCAACACACAACCATCCTCGCACTACAAAACACCGGTGTGACAGTGACCGCGGGCAAGAACGGGGCATCCGTTAATATTTTAAAATTAACGAATCCCATTAGGTATGCGCAGTAAACAGACCAATGACCTTAGATCGCGGGATGACCAATAGCGATAGTGTAAAAACGCGGTAATTCGATTATCGTTCAAAATGAAAATACCCGACGAGTCCTGATCCAGTCTCCCGTCTCCTCGTCCCGTCAACGACGAATGATTTCTATCTTGGACACTGTCGTTCCAACGATTCGCTCCTCTAATTCTATTACGGCGTAACTGAAACAAATCCACGTAAAGGTGTATACATACAATGTCGCCGGAGAGTAAATGAAACACGGGGAAATGAACGAATAACAACCACAATCGTATTTCATTGCACATAGATACACAGATAGGAAATAGTTTTTTATTTATATTCGGTAGCTGCACAACACTGTGATTACCAGAAAATGCAGATACAAGTAGAAGACGCTGCCTCGGGGGGCAGCCTTAGGGAACGGAGAGCTAACCTTTACGATATATTCTACAACGTGTTCCGAGTCGAATCTGTTAACGATCTCCGTGAGCTTGTAAAACTAGACTGCGGATTTCTTTCGGAAATGAACGTTCCCTCTGGTCTCGTTTTGTCAGCGATTCAGTTTTTCTTGGCGGATCTCACCCGATCGCGAGTAACATTTGCATTGTCATGTCCAACGGACTCGGGTGGCCGATGAAATGCATCAAATTCGCAGTCTATTTAGAACGATAATAAAGTCGCACAATATCGTGGTACCCATTGCTCCGTGAGGTTGTACCTGCCCCGTCGTAAACCACAACTGATTCTACGCTAAATAATGCAAGCCGTCCCCACGGGTAAATGTTGACAAAACATTACCGTGACTTTCGATCGGTTTCGTCGTGTTGTACCAGAGAGAGAGAAAAAGAGAGAGAGAGAGAGAGAGAAAGAGAAAGAGAAAGAGAGAAATGGGGGAGCTTACCGATTTACTACGCAAATTTTAAGGGAACCATAGAGGATTCCATTGTCCCGTGAAAGATTCATTAAAAAGTCAGCGTACAATTTAATGCCAGCTCTTTACAGTAGATCCTCCGGCTGATAATCTCCGAGATTTTACAATGAAAACCACGTCATACGGTATCGTGGTGTTGCACCCGCGACATGATAACCAACGGGCTCTTATCATCGTCTAGAAACAATACTCGGAACGACACTCGCGTCCCGAGATACGCAAAGAAAGTCAGCGAAGTGAAAACTCGGCGGCTATCGGCTTTAAATGATAACGTGGAATGGATTCTGAAGATGTACTTGTTCCTCTTTTTTTTTATACAGCTAAAAAAAGATTTATTTACATTGACTGACATCTAGAATGATCACGAGTCCCTTTCTAAATCGCTGTTTTCTCGATAATTTTACACGCGTCCGTGGTCTACGTACATATGCGCTCCTCGGAAACTATTATTATTATTATTTTTAGATATACAGTTTCTACGTTTAGAATTCGTAAGCTACATAAGCGAAACGTTCAGAACGTTTCCTTTTTTTTCTTTTTTTTATAACTTGTTAACCAGGGGAAGCAAATTGATTCGTGTATCTCAAAATCCACGAGCTTAATTGGATTGTAAATGTCTGTGAATTCCGTTGGACGGTAAATCTTATCAAACTGTTTCTTTCATCGTTAATTGGATCTGCGTGTACTATGAAAAATATATATTCATATACCTTTGCCATTTGCTATCAACTGCTAATACTGTTTTCAGCACAATAAGACGTTAAAAATTATGCGTGTCGCATTACACCGCTACAATGTGGTCTTCCATTGAGTTGCAGAGTTCTACAAATAATTTTTATCTCGCCCATTATGCTAATAATATTACCATCGATTGAAAATGAAAGACAATCGTGTATGAATACTTTGTAGGTACACTGGTTAACAAATTAAAGCTAAACAATGCATCGTTTCGTTTGGTTACATGCTACAGTAACAGTTAATTTATAATAATATGTGTATATATATATATATATATATATATATATATATAT